TACTTAGGTGAAGGTAAAAAAAAGAGTAGCCTTGTTTTATGCTATTTAGAGTCGAAACGTGTCCTGTGCACTCATGTCCACTCTCGTTCTTTTCATGACATTATGATAAAGGTTGAAATGGGCATTAAGAGTCAGGCACCGACACTGAGCTCTAACGATCTGGCCGATCAGAAGCTTTCCAGAGGTCAGCACAGCATGTGGAATTACCCTTTAGATAAAGAAGATGCAGAGCTGGAGAGAACAGTTATGAGTAGAGTCAGGTGTCCACATAAACTAGGAGATTCGGTCCCCATTCTGGAAAGTCTGTATATCCAGGAGACTAATACTATCCCGGAAACTAAGGTGTGTAATTTGGGAGAAATGGTAAGATACGTTTTGAGTATAATGGGGAGTTAAATTTTGCTTTTAAAGGGACTAACCTTGATTAGTTCATTATATTACGTCTGATGTCACTGTGTTGTTAGGAAGCTTTCTGAGAAGAATTCTGAGATGCAGAAAGACTGGATGAAAGTTCTGCACCTTACTTAGTGTCAGGAGAAGTGAGTGCTCCTTCCTACTGTCCTTGTTTCCACTTCCACTATTGGTCTGCATACTAAGTGCTACCCACTCTGTCTTTTAGAGTGAGAATTGTTGAGAACCGAGGATTTACATTTAATACATTTCTAAGTATTCTTCTCCTGAGATTGGAGTCTGAGCGCTCAGAGTCACTGGAGACTGAAAGAGACGAATGAGCCATGGACCATTAGAGATCACTCGGGTCCCCAGCAGTGAGCAGCCACAAAGCGTGACAGAACTCCGAAGGGTGCCGTGAGGAGACAAGACAAACTGTTGTCGGAATCCACAGAAATGACAGAGGTGTTGGCAAAGACGTCATGAAACTTGGCTGCAAACAGTAAGTGATCTTGAAACCCGGAATCGCGTGGTAAGGCGTGTGGAAGAAGCGATGCAGAGGTGTTCGTGGAAGAGTCACGGTGTTTTTGTAGGGGCGATGAACTCGGAGACAGACTTGCCTTTCGTTTCTGCCACTTCCTAGCTGTGTTACTTGGGGCAAATCTTATCATCCAGTTTTTATTTTCTTTACTGATTAAAAAAATAAAGGAGTGGACTGGAGAGTTTTAAAGATCCTATCCAGTTCTATTACTCCTGCCATCCTTTGTCGCTGAGTATGCAGGCTGAGAACGAATCCTGAAGGGCTTTTGTTACCAATGTCGCACGTTGGAAATTCTAAAGTAGACAGGGGGGATGGACCGGGATGATGAGATGAAGAGAGTGTCATGATCACACATTCATTAGGAAAGTGGTTTGTTACCAAAGCTGGCGATCCAGATTACCTATGGAGATGTTCAAAAAGGCAGCTGTTTATGTCTTCGGCCCTACTCCTCAGATTCTGCAGTAGGAAGATATTATGGATGCCTGAAGTTAGGGAGAGACTGGATCTTGAGAGTGGGGCTATGCAGCTGTTACAATGATTCATCTGAGTTAAGGATAATGTAGGTAAAGGAAGTGTCGACAGCTCTTCCTTGAGAAGTAAGTCATGATCCTCGTCCTCGTCTCCTTTTAGGCTTTCTTTAATCATCAACTTTTTCTTACCCTTTCTAGGGGTTTTTATTCCTTATATAGGTCTTCATAGCATGATAGATAATGCTCACATCATACCATATCCACTGAGCTCTTCCTATCAGCCAGGCACCGTGCACTGAGCCATGACATTTATACCAGACCCCCAGGTTTGTGAGGGTGGATGATTACCTATCAGCTAGACGTGGTTCTCATGCTCACCACATGGATAAGGAAGCTGTGACTTGCCCAAGATCCCAGTGGCAGAGTAAGAGAAGAGTTTTAAATGTGAAATCTTTCTGATTCTAGAAACCAAACCCTTAACCACTAAGCTCTATGGCCATAGGTCTTGGAGAACTGGTCCCCCTGGCTGCCAGCGTCCTCTGCTTACCTCTTCTCTCTCTTCCTAAAATAGAAGGTCACATCAAAAAGTGCTTCTAAGAATGCTAGTGCATGCGTGAGTGAGAGCAGTGTTATTTCAGTGAATGAATGCATCCACCACACTGTTCTGTTGTAATACACTTTGAAAAGACACATGCACAAAGGATGTTTCTAAGATATTCTCAACACAGTAGCCAGAGTGGTCCTTTTAATTTGTCAGACCATCTCACTCCTCTCTTAAAACCCTCCAGTGTAGCCTTGCAATGTCTCCTATCTCCCTTAGAACAAAAGCAAGTCCGTAGTGGTAATGGCCTGCGGGCCTCCACTTGATATGCCCCCATTACGTGGTGTGATGGTTTGTTTTATGTGTCCCCTTAGCCAGGTTATTCAGTCAAACACTAATCAATGTGTTGCTGTGAAGGTATTTTGTAGATGTAGTTAAGACCTGCAATCAGTTGACTTGAAGTAAAGGAGAGAGAATTAATTATCCTCAATAATGTGGGTGGGCCTCATCCAATCAGTTGAAGGCCTTAGGAGCAAATATCCGAGTTTCCCAGAAAAGAAGTAATTCTGCCTCAAAATTACAGCATCAGTGCCTGCCTGAGTTTCCAGCCTGCCACATGTTCTACATGTTTCAGACTTGACAGCCCCCACAATCATGGGAGCCAATTCCTTAAAATATATCTCTTGACATTATGTATGTGTATACACACACACATATATATATATATATATATGAAGTATATGTATCTTATCAGGTGTAAGATAGATAGATGCTACATAGGAGATATATATGTCTCTACCTATTAGCCTTTCTATCCTATGTCTATATATACTATATTCTCTCTATATGTATATATATTACATATATTTATCTGTATCTATTATACTTTATCTATATCTTACATCTATATATACTCCTATATCCAACATGATCTGTATTTATATCTACATCTATCTATCTATTGGGGCTCTCCAGAGAAACCAATGTGCTCTCTTGGTTCTGTTTCTCTGGAGAGCCCTGACTGGCACACCTGCTGACCTTCTCACATTGTCTCCTTCTCTCACCCAGTCCAACCATGCCAGCCTCTCTGCTGGGTCCTCAGACACACCAGGCATGCCCCTGCCCTGGGCCTCTGCACTGGCTGCTCCATCTGCAGGACGCTCTTCCCCCACACGTCCCCACGGCTTGCTCCCCACCTCCTTCAAATTCCCCTTCCTCCATGGAGCCTGCGCCAAGCCACGCTGGTTTAAGTCAGAGCCCGTCCCCTCTGCCCTTCTCCAGCCTCCTCACCCTGCTCTGCTCTTTTCTTTTTCACAGCACTTGTCACCTTCTCACACACTGTGTAATTTACTTATTTGTCCTACGTATTGTTTAATGTTTGTCTCTACCACTGGGATAAAAGTCCCATGAAGGAGACAATCCTGTTCTATTTTGTAGCCTGATGTGTCCCAGGCTCCTAGCAGAGTCAGCACCCAATGATCCTTGTTGGAAAAATGAATGAGCAGTCTGTGAGGGTCAGTGAACAGGGGCTCCTGAGTCTGAGATGGTGTCTTGGGACTGGTCAGCTGAGGGGTTTGCTTAGTGAGTGGGGTCTGCATGGCAGTGATTGGTATGTGTGGGAGGGTCAGTGGTGGGCACCTGGGGTCGGTGACGTGGGCATCTCTGTGGGGATCGGTAAGGAGACTCTGTGGGAGAGGCTCATTATCTTGCCCAAGATCACCTGTCTAGTAAGTGGCAGAGCTGGACTGATCTCAAGAAGTCTGAACGTAGGGCCGGCCCCGGGGCCGAGTGCTTAAGTTTGCGCACTCTGCTTCGGCTGCCCAGGGTTTTGCCGGTTTGAATCTTGGGCGCGGACATGGCACTGCTCGTCAGGCCACGCTGAGGCGGCATCCCACATGCCGCAACTAGAAGGACCCATAACTAAAAATACACAACTATGTACTGGGGGGCTTTGGGAGAAAAAGCAACAATAAAATCTTAAAAAAAAAAAAAAAAGAAGAAGTCTGAACCTCAACGCAGTAGAATTTGAAGATGCAAAAGCTGCCTGAAGGAAGGATACAGTGGCATGGTCAAGACGAGGTCTGTGGATCTTAGAAAATTTCCCTGTCTGGCAAATGAGAATGGGAAAAATAACTCAGAGGTTGAGACTATGGGTAAGTTCAGTATTTCAATTGCGCTGGTAGAATAACCTAATGCAAGTGTTTAATCTGCCAGATTATATCAGTCAACAGCTCAGGGGGCCATGATCCTCTAAACTAATGTGTGCTTCCTGCTATTTCTGTTTCTGAGTCAGATCTGGTGCTGGGAGAGGGCGGGGCCCATAGCAGTGTTCCTATAAATGTGGGGGCTGGTGTCCTGGAGGGGTGACTTTGACACTGGTGTGTTGGATGAGAGGGAGAGATAAGGAAGCAGAAGGACCAGCTAATATCCCGCCACAGTAATCCATGAATGCTGCGAGGAGGCTTTAAATGTCCAAATCCAGCCCCTTGACCCCTCTGCCTCCCCACAGCCTGTCTGCCTTTGCCATCCAGCCCTCCCGCTCAGTCTCCCCCCTTTCAGAGCCTTATCTCATTAGGTTCTACTCTTTGCTCCACAGGTTGAAATGTCATCTCTGAAACTCCCAGCCTACTTGTCATCGCTGTCAGTACTCTGTCTGTCTGTCCACCTGCAGCAGCTTTTCCCCCCTCAAAACCCAAAAGATGAAAAATACTGACACACAGGAATTTTTCTTATTTGGAAACAACGATGTCACTATAACTGAATATTTCTGAAGAGGTTTCATTCTGTAAAATGATGGTGGAGACGTCGGCCCCGTAGCCGAGTGGTTAAGTTCGCGAGCTCCGCTTCGGCGGCCCAGGGTTTTGCTGATTTGGATCCTGGGCATGGACGTGGCACCACTCATCAGGCCAGGCTGAGGCGGCGTCCCACATAGCAGAGCCAGAAGGACCCACAACTAGAATATACAACTATGTACTGGGGGGCTGTGAGGAGAAGAAGGAGGGAAAAAAAAAGAAGATTGGCAACAGATGTCAGCTCAGGTCAGGTGCCAATCTTTAAAAAAAAAAATGATGGTGGAAAGACTCACTTGGAATTGTGCATTTTATTCCATTTTAGAAGGAATCTTGCAAGTTGATAACCACATAAAAAAGCAACAGAAAGCCCAAGTCAAACTTCTGGGAAAAGTTACATTTATTTAACAAGAAGTCACTGAGTAAAGTGAGAAACAATGAATGTAATGAATTTGAGGAAAATTCCCAAAGAAGACAAAATGTACTAAATGTGACAAAGCTGTAATAAATGTGTCAACAATTCACACCAGTGCAAAAGCATAGTAACAGAATTAATATCAGAAAGGCCCTGTGATAGAAGGCTCAATACACGGGACACGAGTGCTACGCTTACGAATAGTTGAGTAAAAGCTTCTATCAAAATGTAATCTTACTGTGTTTAGAGAACGCCTGCTGGAGAGGATGCTGTGACTGTCGTGTGGGAAAGCACCAATCCAGAAGCCCGTCGTCACTGGAGCACACGATCCTCCCGGGGAGAAACCATTCCAGGACAAGGGATGCGCGAGAGCCGCCCAGCACAGCCCCATTCTCATCCAACCCAGAAGGAGCCGCACCGTCAGAATGCCTTAGAAAGTCCACAGATTTGAAAAAACCTTTATCCAGCGGTTCAAGTTGATTGACTGGACATCAGAGAAGGCAAAACTATGCAGATAGCCTGGGAAACCCCTCAACCCCCAGTGAATGTCAAAGAAACGCAGAGGGGGAGACAGCCTCCGTACACACTGAATGTGGAAATGCCCTCCCCGGAGTCAAACCTTTGCAGACACTGCAGAACTCAGAAAGGAAAGAAGCCTCACGCGTGTACAAAACACGGTGCGCCTTTAGGAACAGAGGGTCCCCACTGCACAAAAAACCGTGCATGCTGTGGACACCCTCTCTAAATGGACTGACGGGAGAAGGCCCCTGAGGAGAAGACGGGACTCGCTGTGCATCCGAGAATTCACATCAAGGGCAGGAAGTGATGATGGGGCGGGGGACGGGTGTGAAAGTCTGCAGCAGGAAGCCAGGCCTCTGTGTCAGAAACTTCGCTCTGGGGAGAAACCCTCTAAATGTGGAAAAGCTTTTACTAAGAAATCACCTGAGCTCTAACTTACATAGTTCAGAATAAGGAAAACCACAAAACTGTAAAACATGTGGAAAAGTTTTAACTAAAAGTCAAGACTCACTGCCCATCAGACAGTCCATACTGGGAGAAACACCAAGAAAACAATAAACACGGGAAAACCTTCATTTGGAGATCAGAGCTCACTGACTTTCTAAGAGTTTATATAGGAGAAAAACTCTATAAAAACACTCATGTGGAGAAGCCTTCAGCAAGGAAATACACCTCATTATACACCGGAAAACCCACACAGGAGAGAAGCCTTGTGAAAGAAGGAACTTTGGAAAGCATTCAGCAATAAATGAACCTTCGTAAGTCACACTGCGGAGAAACCCTGGGAATGCAGCCAGCGTGGGGAAGGAGGGTCTGTCCACCAGCAGTGTGGCTCTGAGAGGCCCTGCTGACGTAAGAATGCCGACCCCCAGTCCCGAGGTCAAAATTATCAGGCCCCAGAGGCTCTGTATTCGGGGAGTCTCTATGTGGCATGAAGTGTGGCTGAGCTTCAAAATCAGTTCCAGACATTAGATACTACAGAGTTCGTACCGATAAATAAAAAGAGCCAATTTAAAAAATTTCAGTTTTACTCCAGGGAAATAAAATTCCATAACTCAAACCAAGCTACTTGTGAAAAAAGCCTCCTGATAAGTGAAGATCCGTGCGTCTGGAGTCCAAGCACCTCTGGCTTCGTGCTCGCCTTTCCTTTAATGAAGGCCTCCCAGTCAGCGCTGGGAGGGGAGAGTCCAGGCGTCCACCCTGAGTCACCCACTTGGAATCAATCCTCACCGTGGACACAACTCCCTCTGTCACTGGTCCCAGCCTGGCGGTCCTGACACAGTCCCTCGCCGGCACCCGAGGCGGCCAAGGGCTGTCGTGTTATCCTCACCCCACGAACCCCACACAAGCGCATCTGATTTTCTTGAGGTTCAGAGTCATTTAAGGGAGTGCACGTGGGAAAGGGAAACGCTGTCCTCTAGGTGTGACATCCCCCAGAGCCCAGGGGAGAAGATCTCGAGGAAAAGACCTTGACAAAGGAACCTCCCAGGGCACACAGACCCTCTGCTCACCCGTCCTGTGCAGGCCATCCTCCTCACAGGCTCCCACCCAAGGCTCCACCACTCTGTGCTGGCAGAAGGCTGCCCTGAACCCAGAGGACTCAGTCCCCAACACAGACCCGCAGGTCTCCTTTCCTGGAAGCTGCTCCTCCCCCTGCTGACCCTGTATGTCACTCTGACGTCCACACATCTCACATGCGGCCCAATCCCCAGGTTCCTGTGGTTGGTTGATGGGGGAAATCTCACCCACACAGGGCAAGCCTAGGGCTTCACCGTGACCTCTGAACTTCAGGCCAGGGGTGAAGGGTCAGGCCCTCCCTGCAGAAGGATCCTCTCGGGGGCTCTTTCCACCGTGAGCAGAAAGTCTGGTCTGCAGCAGGAAGTCTGAGGCCGACGTGCACAGAAAAGCAGGGATAAAGGTGGCGCCTGGCCCAGGTCCTTCTGAAGGCCAGCCCTGTCCTCCTGGGCACGGCCTTCACAGACTCCGTGTCTCTGACGGCTCACTGCAGACCTGCAGTCGTCACAGCTTCCACCATGACGCGAGGAAAAGAAACGAAGGGAGGAGAGGAGCAGCCATCCCACTGGTACCCCACTCGCTACTTGGGGGCCTCGGCGTCCTCGCCCTTGGGTGGGGCTGCCACTGTGGAGGTCGTCTTGAGGCTCCGCTTCCGCTTCTGCACGTTCTGCTCCGGGTGGAACAGGATGACGTAGGTTTTGGGTACATAGAGCATGCCCAGGGACACCGACGCACTCAGGCTCAAGGACACAGTCAGTGTGGTGGTTTGGATGTAGATCTGAGCCATGGAGGAAGGGACCAGGTGGGACTCAGGCCTCTTCTCTCCCACCCCCACCCCCATGTCGCCTGGAGGGGAGTCTGTTTCCCCCGGTGAATGGGAGTGAGCACTTAGAAAAGGACAACAGCATGAGCAAAGGCTCTGAGGCGTGAAGAAGTGGCTCATGAAGGAGTCATGGTGTGGCTCTGGTGTAGGCAGGAGGAGGGTGAGCGACAGGGACTGAGTGGACAATCGACGGAGGGAAGCAAGGGGATCATTCACAGAGAATGACACCTGGGGAAACAGTCCATGTGCCTAAAAAGGTCTGGAGCGTGTCCATGAATGAATGAACGTGGCTTCAACTGTACAAATGAATGAACGGACCGAGGCTGAACAGTGGAGCAGGTGGGCACACACGGAGGACAGGGGTGAGTAACAGACGCTCAGCTGTGCACGTGAACAGACAACGGGCCGACAACCAAGCAGACGGGCCGACGGATCAACAGATCGGCAGACATAAAGCACCTGAGGAAGGCACTGAAGAAAAACAAGCTAGAGGCGTGGATGCCCAAATGAATGAACAAACAAAGGACGAGGGGGAGGCTGAGCGAACAAGCAGAAGGAGATGCAAAGACAAATGAGCGAACAAGTCAGTCCACGAATGAACTACCCCCCAAGCAAGCGTGCAAGGCAGCGGGAGCAACGGAGCCCTCCCGCGGACAGGGACCAGGTTACCTTTTCAGCCGACTGCGCGGTGCCAAAGAAGATAGGCACAAAGGCCAGCCAGACGATGCAGGTAGTGTACATGGTGAAGCCGATGGGCTTGGCCTCATTGAAGGTCTCGGGCACGCCGCGGGCCTTGATGGCATACACCGTGCATGTGACCATGAGCAGGAAGCTGTAGCCCAGGCACCCGATGAGGGACAGATCTGACATGTCGCACTTGAGCACCCCTCTGGCCTGCTCCGGGTCCACCGTGCGCTGCTCTTCATAGTCGATCACGCTGTGTGGGGGCTGGGCCCCCAGCCACGCTATCACTCCCACCACCTGCAGGAGCCAACACCGTATGAGAGGCACACCCAGCCTAGCCGCTGACCGAGGTCTCTGGCAGGTGAGGGTCCCCTGAGGCTCCTGGCTTACTGAGTGGGATGCTCAGGCCTGAGAGAGCCACCATGGAGAGGGGAGGGCCGTTCAGGAGGGGACCGCCAGGCAAAGGCTGTGACACGGCCAGGGAAAAGAAGGGGCTGCAGTGCAGGTGTGTGCTGGCACTGTTGGGGCTGGTTGGGTAAGGGGCCCCTGGATGTCCCCGTCCCCTATTCCAGCCATTACCAACTGCAGACTGAGCCTCACAAAGCGCACTGACTGCACGCAGAGGCTCTACAATCAGGGCCCTAAACCCATCTCTCCCTCTATAGAACGGGAACCTTGTAATCTGTTGTGAGGACACCGTGCCAGCTTTGGGGAGGGCCGGGCGGCAGAGGTGTTCTTTCCTCACAGCCCTCCAGGTGGGCAGTATCATCTCCAGTCTGTACATATAAAAACACTAGCTTGATCCCGTCTAGCAACATGGCAACCCCAGCTCCTGAAAACCCCCGTCCTTCTCCCGGTCCAGAGGACTGCTGAGCGATGGAACAGACCATCCGTGGGTGCACAGTGACGCTCAGAATAAGGAGGCACTTGATGGAGCGCAGTAAGAACGTGAGCTAATGCCAGGCAGCCTGGGAGGTTATCAGAGTCAGACACAAGCCCTAACAGGGAGGAGATGGAGAACCAATCTCCTCACAGTGACAGGAGACATGACTTTGAGCCAAGGAAGCTGTTCAGCAGGAAGTAAGAAACCTGCATAAAGGCAGGACCCTGGAAGGGCTGCCCCATATGTTTGTGCAGGTCGTTCATTGCACAAGAGCGCCTGACCTGTGGGGTGGGCAGGTGGGCCTGAAATCTAACCAACACTCCAGTACCGGACTGTGCACCTGGAACAGGGCTGTATAATCCTGGAGGAAGAGACGTTTTGAAATAATTTTTACCCCTAGAAGGAGCACCTTTTTGTGATTCTGCCAAAGGCAGCAGCTCTGTGAACAAGGACTATCAAGTAACACCCTGCCCACTGTCCAGGAAGGCAGCCTGGCAGCTCCACTTAGAACAGGCTCTAGACAGGCAAAAACGCTGCCCATGAGAAACCAAAACCCAAGGGCTGTGATACGCAGGACTGCAACCAAAGGTACCCCACAGACTCTGCCACCCAGGTAACAGACAGAGAATTAGCATCCAGCACACGCAACCAACTCCTACGAGATACAGGACACGAGCGAAGCTTAGGAACAGGTGCATCACAGGTGACGACAGGGCCAGGACCAGGCCACCGGTCATTCCGCCCAGGCCAAGGAAAGCAACGACACCCCTTTCCCGTCCATCATGTGGGTCAGGAACCCAGGAGGCTGACCCTCCTGTTCCTGGACAGGAGCGTGGGGGCAGGAGGTCCGTGGGTGTGCTGGGCGGGCAGTGAATGCAGCTAAGCTTCTCCATCGCGGAGGAGGGGCACACGGGGCTTCAGGCGGGGCCGGGGAGTGGCCTTCTCAGCACGTGCGGGCCTGAGCTTCTGGGCCCGAGGGGAGCCCAGGCCCTGCTCTCGGCAGGGAGATGGGCACTTGCAGTCTGCAGAGCTGCAGGGACCGAGGCCCGTGGCCGGGAACGCACGTGGCTTGTGCAGGCTGGGCAGATACGGTCTCGCGTGGAGTAGAAAGCATGTGGTGTTAGATGAGCAGAGCCCGGCCTGGCCCTGAGAACTGGGCTGGCTCTGCAATGTCACACATGCCTCTCTCTTAGTACCCTTTGCACAGAAAACATCCAGTGCTGTCCAGACCAAAGGAGTCATTTCCGATGCTGCGATGTCACTGTCTTAGAGAAAACCCCAAGGGAAACCTACTTTTGCCACACATCCATCGTGATACCCTGGCCCTCTGTGGACCTGGATGCCGGCTCCACGGTCACAGCCTGGAGCCCAGGCCTCTCTTCCAGGCCACCCCAGTGACGGGCAGCAGGAACTCCCATGATGGAGACAGACTCTTTGCTGGGGGAAAATTCATCAGAGAGTTCTTTGCCCTATTTTTGTACGGGAGCCAAATTGTGGAAGAGTATGTTCTGTTTATAAACATAATTTCATTGTTTTACAGAAAAATAGCTGGATGCTAGCACTCCCAGCCTTACTACCCATTTTCCTTCAAGGAAGGGGCCGAGGAACATGGCTGCTCTTAAATGAGTTCTGGTTACAGGAGAACAGGAGGGTCGTATCTCCTGCGGCTTTTTTTTTCTTTTTCACATGGGAGCCAGAATAGAAAAAAGTGACTCTCTGATTTCTAAAGTGGAAGACAGCATGTCCCCAGCCCCAGGCCCTAACTGCCAGCCCTGTCACCTTGGGAGCCTGAGGACCCACCTGCACAAAGGTGAGGCTGAAGGTGATGACCAGCTGCGAGGTGGGGCTGATGAAGGGCGGGGGCGTGACGGAGCGCTTCCCCTGCTCAAAGATGCGGTAGATGCGGTTGGTCTTGGTGAGCAGGGCGGAGTAGCTGAGGGTGGTGCCCAGGCCCAGGAGGAGTCTCCGGGCCGCGCAGACAGCAGCCCCGGGCTCCGCCACCATGAGGAAGGTGATGGCGTAGATGAGGAAGATGCCGGTGAGGAGCACGTAGCTGAGCTCGCGGCCAGAGGCCCGGACGATGGGTGTGTTGTTGTGCCGCATGAAGGTGGCTACTACCGTGGTGGTGGCCACGATGCCCAGCACAGCCAGGAGGAGGGGCGGGGCCGCCCAGGGGGAGGACCAGGTCAGAGTGACCACGGGCGTGGGGCGGCAGCCCGTGTGGTTGCGCGTGGGCCTCATGTCCCTGGGGCAGGCCTCGCACGTGAACTCGTCTACCTGGAAGCGGTACCCATCACAGGCCTCACAGTGCCAACAGCAGGGCACGCCCTTCACCATCTTTTTCCTTTCTCCCGGCCCACAGGGGAGGCTGCACTGAGACTGGGGCACTTCGTGGGGGTCTCCTGACCACTGTAGGGCTTCCACCTGGGACACAGGAAACACGGACCTGTGACCTCCTCCTCCGCGAACCGTGGGCTGCCCCCCTATCCCAGAGCTCAGCCTGTGCCACTCACGTCCAGCCTGAGGTCCTCTGCCCACTGGCCCACAGTCTGGTAGCCGCCACTGCCCGCACTGCCGTTGGCTGCCTGGTACTGGAAGATGTCGTATCGCCCAGGCGCATCCCCATTCTCGTTGAACATCACAGGGGTCCCCGCACTGCCTGGAGGGAGAGCCTGTCAGCCCCAGCTGGTTCTCCAGCCCATCAGAGCCAGCCTCCCGGAGAGGCCGAGGCCCAGCCAGGACGAAGGAAGAGCTTAGCAAACACACATGCAAAGATGCTCAACATCATCAGGGAGACGCAACTCAGAACCACAGCGAGATGCCCCTTCCCACCGTTAGGACGGCCACTGTCAAACACGGACAAGTAACAAGTGTCAGCAAGGGCGTGGAGAAATGGGAACCCTAGGCTTTGCTGTGGGAATGTAAGATGGTGCATTCACTGTGGAAAACAGTATGGTGGCTCCTCAAAAAACTGAACAGATTACCACCTGATCCAGCAATTCCATTTCTAGGTCTATATCCAAAAGAGCTGCCAGCAGAGACTCAGAGATATGTGAACACCTACGTTCAGAGCAGCATTCTTCACAATAGCCAAAAGCTGGACACAGCCTAAGTGTTCACTGGGGGTTGAAGGCATAAACAAATGTGGTCCATCAACACAGTGGGGTATTATTCAGGCTTAAAAAGGGAGGAAATTCTGACACACTTACCACACGGAGGAACCTTGAGGGTGGTATGTCAAGTGAAACAAGCCAGTCACAGAAGGACAAATACTGTGTGATTCCACTTATATGAGGTCCCTAGAAGAGTCAGCTTCAGAGACAGAAAGGACAATGGTGGCTGCCAGGGGCTGGGGGGGTGAGGAGTTAGTGTTTAATGAGGACAGGGTTTCAGTTGTGCAAGACGGAAAGAGTTCTTGAAATTGGTTGCACAGCAATGTACACCACTCAACTGTACACTTAAAAATGGGTCAGATGGTCAGTATTATGCTCTGCGTATGTTACCACAATGAAACAAGAAAGAGGAGCTGAACTGTCCAGGCGAGGGGATGAGTTTAGACTTGGACAAAGGTCTGAGTGTTGGCACTGATTGATCAGTTGAACGATCGGCTTTCTTTGTTTTAGAAGCTTGTTCCCCCCGCCTATAGAGCTGGTCTGCCGTGACGTGGAGCCGCACTTCAGCAGAGAGAAGCTGCTCAACAGAGGGCGGAAGAACAGAGTTCTTACTGTCATAAAGGACAGGAATCGAACAAGAAGCATCTCCCCACAAACCAGGAGCACGGCCGAGTCCGCGTGGGCCTTTTCAGCAGCCCTTATTGGCGCCCTGACCGTGTGCCAGGCCCTCTCCTGGCAGCAGGGGGACGCATCCCACTCACACCTTGTGCTCCAGCTTGCAGGGCCTAGCTGGGGCGACGTGTGGGAGCCCGACACTCAGAGTGGGCAGCATATGCCCCCTGCGCACAGCCCGCGCTGGGCCCACACGCGCCCCGCGTCCAGAGGCCTCCAAGCTTGTGCCATGGAGGAGAGAGTTGTGTGTAACCCTTTGAGGCTCCAGACAGAAGAGGCCACAGAGAAGCTCCCCAACACCTGAAGTTTGCAAGTTGGGGCAGGGGTGCTGCAGCCTGGGAAGCAGGAGAGTTAAAACTGGTCCCCAGAACTCGGCTCAAGCCTCAAGCTCTCAGGCCCAGGGGCCCCATTGGACACCCTGCCTCTCCGTCCCTTCGGTCCCGCATCGTCCCACTCCCGCAGAGAACTCCGTCCCAGCGGGCTGCCCTCACTCACACAGAGGCTCTGGCGCCCACTCACCGTTGAAGCGGACCGCTCGAATATACTGCAGCAGCGTCCGCCCGTCGGTGGGCTCCATGGCCGGGCACAGGCCCGTGTGCCCGGGGCAGAGATCCTGCTGCATGCTGTGGAGGGCGTGGGCAATGGCGTACACAGCATCGATCACAAACTGCACCTTCCCCTCCTGCTCGTAGGTCGAGTCCCGGCCGATGCGTTCCTCGCCTGTCCTAGGGACGCCCGGAGGAAGTGTGCCTGGCCCCAGGGCCCAGCCTGGCCTCCCACCCCCTCCCTCACCACCCTCACCGCCCGGGGCAGCTCTCACCTGTGCATTTGCGGGTGGAATCATCTGACAGGGTACCTGAGCCGGTCAGTTTGCAGTTAAAATTCTCTTCCCAGAACTCGGCAAACCAGATGTTCCGGCGGTTGTTCTCCAGGGAGCGGCTCATGAAGTACTGGTCAAATCCTGAGAGGGAAGGAAGGAGGGAGGACGGTGGCAAGTGTCTGAGCCAGCCGTGGTTCTCCTGTGTCTCTTCACCACTTGCTCCCCTTGCAGCTAGGAGTGCCCATGTGACCAAGTTCTGGCTGGTGAGTTCAAAGCCATCTGGGGGCTCCAGGATAGAATTTGCATCCTGATGAAAACTCAAAGCCTGACCACGTGAACGACCTTTAAGCTGCCCCTTCTTTCCTGGTTAGGATGATGCTGTGAAGATGTAATGGGTGGAGCTTCAGCAGCCACTTTGTGAATAAGATGCCACAATCATGAAGATACATAGCAACCACAGAGGATGGTAGAACAGAAGTGGGGAGAGAGCTCAGGGTTTTGAAACATCATTGAAACATCACCGAACCTGAAGTCGCCTACTTTCAGACCTCTTGTCTTGTGACAAAATTGACTTTATTGCTAAAACCACTCTCAATCTAGACTGTCACTTGTAACTAAACGCATTCTAAGGGAAAGAAAGAGTGCGACGATGTACACCCCCAAAAGGCTGGGAGCCCCTGGATTCAGGGCTCAGCCTTTCCAAGGGTCTGTGCTTCATAAAATAGCCCTGAAGCACCTCCTCAAGGTGTCTGCAGTTCAGCCTTTGGGAAAATGCGCAATCCTGTTGTAAAGTGGACATCTCCGCTGAATTCTTCCAGGTATTCACAGACGGGATGGTGGGGGGCTCACCATCTGGTTAACAGGACGGTGTGTCCCACACCCTTGTTTCTCTCCCTCCCACCCCACCCTCAAATTAGAGTGCCTTCAGCACAACCAGAAGACAGGCGTCGAATTAAAGCAAAACAAAGACGGAAACGGACAGTTCTTCCCCCTGTGCAGGGGGGCTCTTCCTCATTTGCCAGCTCCTCCACACGCTGCCTGGAGGATAGTCAGAGTCTCAGAATCCTAGAATCTGGGGGCCCTAGAAGGGACCTGGATTTTGCACACTCTTCCAGGTGGGGACAATGAGCACCCCCGGGGGGTGGGGCTGCGGAGGGAGGGCACCCTGCACTCACCATCAATGGAGGCCCTTTTGGGCAGGATGGTGATGGCCCCCACGGCCACGTCCTCCAGGTTCAGGACAGGTGAGACCTTGGCTCCCCAGCTGTCTGAGCCGACCCACAGGAAGTGGCCAGTCAGGTTGGCCTGGCGTGCAGCCTCCAGGACCCTCCTGGCAGGAACAGGGCAGTGGGTGAGTGAGGGCCTGAGACTCTCCTCCAGCTCTTTCCCCTCCACCTGTCCCACTGCACCTCAGCAGACCCTCATTCCTCAGGACAAATGGGCTGCAGCGTGTTTAGGACACTGGCCTGGGCTCCTCGGGCAGTAGAGGGTCCGGCTAGGCTCTGACCCAGGCCTGCCTCCCGCGTCTGCACTGTAGCCCACATCACGCTGCCTGGAAGAAGGGTCTCCCTTTCTGTCGCAGCGCCTCCTACTGGGCTCAGGCCCCGGCCATGGCCGTGGCCTCCTGCTGACCCCCTCTCCTGGCCCCGGGCGCCTTCCCTCACAGCTCATTTTCTGCACCAGGTCTGCCCAGGGGTCTTTCTCGCACTGTGAATTATAAAAACAGACACGCTTTCTTGTGTTTCCCTAGGCTAGGCTCGGAGCATCTCCACCCAGACCAGGACTGGCTCATTTCTGAGGGCACCAGGCAGAGATGGCAGCAGGAAAAGTGCATGGGGGCAGGGCAATGAGGGGGGCTGAGAAGGAGGGAAAGGGAGGACGGGAGGATGCGCATGGCTGGGGGATGTGTGAGAAGAGGCGGCAGGGGCTTCAAGGAGAGCCCCTGCAGAACACCGGGACTGAGCTCGCCATCCATCCCACCTGATGTCATCCTCGTTGGCAAAGATGATGATGCCCCGGGCATTGGGTGTCTCCATGAGTCTCCTGATCACCTTGCTGAACTCTCCTGGCTTTGGTTCCCTGGGAATCTTGATGGACTGGGCAATACAGACGCCCCCTGGGTGTTGGGGATGCTGAAGTCAGCTCTCATCCCATCTACCCGCCCACCCACCGGGTCTGCCATCACCCATGACTATTGCAGGGGCTGAGTCCTCCAAAGGAACGGGGCACCTGCCCACAGGGGGCACCATCCAGGCTCCCCGCCATGGACCCAGTGCCCCATCTCATGGCTTCTGCCCTGTCCAACAGCCCCTGGCTCACCCCTCTGTGGTGAGCCCCTCCCCCCAGCTCACCAGCCTCACGGGAGATCTGCACAAAGGCCTCAACCCCGCTCTCGCCATAGTTGCCCTCAGAGGCCAGTGTGGACACGTAGTTCCATCCCAACGCCCTTACGATGTCCACCATGGCCTGGGCCTGGTAGGAGTCAGGCGGCACCACGCGGGAGAAGAAGTCGTAGCGTGTGGAGTCGCTGAGCTCAGGGGCCGTGGACGCATAGCTGATCTGGGGTATCTGGAGGGCGAAGGACACCTGAGCTGTAGATGGAGGGTCAGTCCTAGGGAGGGAAGGCAGTGGGGTCCCGCACACGGGTGGGGACACGGAAGTTTGGGGTTAGGGTGCTGAGGGCCAGCTGGAACTGCCACATGGAGAAGCCAGAAGCTGTGGGGGAAGATCTGCACTTTCTGAATGGGTCTGATGGAACATGGGAGGTCCGAGGGTCCACGGCAGAGGGTACACAGTTGTGCAGGTGTGTCCCAAGCAAAGGGGAAGTGAGGCTCAAGTCCGGTCCTCAGCACAGGCTGCATCTGCCCAGGGAAAAGGGACATCCTTGTTGCCCCCAAGGACATGATTTCCTAATTCACACAAAGGGGTGCTCTGTGTGGGTGGGCAGCAGCCCCTGGAAAGTAGCTGGGCAGGGGCATTTGATTCCAGGCTGTGTCTGGCCTGGCGAAGGGGTCTGTTTGGAGCTGGGCTTATGTGTGTGCGTTAGAGTGACTGACAGCGGATTATGGCTGAGCTGATCCAGGAGAAGTGGGACAGTGCGAAAGGGGAGAGGAATGGGAGCAGAAGGCGAGGAAGCAGCAGGCGGGGTGGCAGAGCGGGTGAATCAGAACCACGTTAAAGAGGGGCACACCCACAAGCCAAAGAGCAAAAGGGAGAGAGCAGGAGGGGGTGTGAAGGTCAGAGAGGGGAAGGTTCTGGAAGGAGTGGACTGAGGCTCGTCTAGGGGAGAGGATTGTTTGAAGCAGGAGAGAAAGAAAGTGTGGAGACAGTATGGAAAGGGGAGGGGACGAGCAAGAGGGAGAGAGAGGAAGGAGGGAAAGAGGAAGGGAAAGAGAGACCAGGAGACTGAAAGAGAAAAACAAGAAGAAAGACAAAAAGGGAAAATCAGACGAAAGGAAGCAGAAAGAGGCCGTCTGGCCACAGCGCCCTTCGCAGCCAGCTGCTCCGGCGCCCCGGACACCGCAGCTAATGTGCAGAGGGACCTGCCCGCACAGGCGGAGCCTCCTGGGGAAACTCGTTTTAAAGCCGGCGCCCGCAGCACTGCGGCCGGGAGGTGGCCTCGGAAAGCCTCATCTTTGCTTCTGGACCAGGGGTTGCAAAACGGCCCCCAAGGAGCCATATCCGGCCCAAGGTTGTATTCTGTGCACTGTCTTTATTTAATCTTTGAATTAGCAGCCAGTGTCTAAAATCTGGGGTGCAGCACCACCTCAGTCTTGGGCCAGCAGGTGGCAGTGGGCCCGGGGCTCACTCGTCCTGCTCCCTCTGCTATGGTCCCCAGCTGGCCCTTGACTTTGAGGTCTTTGCACTCAACCTGCAGGGGGCAGACACAGCAAACGGGGGACAGAAACCAGAGCTCCAGGCAGGGCAGGGGACAGAGACCCCAACACACACACACACTGGGAGGCCACACACTTCTCTCAGCGCCAACTAGAAGGTGGGTCTGTGTGCTCCACACCAACACTACTGTCCAGGAGGACCTGGGGTGGGGGGAATTAAATGGATGCAGATAATGGAGGGGGGGCCCAGATAAAACCTCTACCCACTACGCACTGGGTAGAAACCGAGGCCACTCCTGGGAGAATCAGAGAAACCCTCCAGAAACAGAAGTCCCTGCCCCGAGCCAGATGGACGCAAAACCTTCCTCTGTTCACAGAAAGATGGGAGGACAGAGACCCCTCCGGGTCATGGAACCCCAGCAAAACTGTCCCAGGGAATGGCAGGAAACCCCCAGACACCTACGCCGAAGGCCCTAATCCCTGATTCCCATGCCCCTCCAGTCACTGTTCCCCAGACTGTAAGGAAGGTACTGCCCCCCACAGAAAACAGTTCCCTGAAGCTGAGGGCACCGCAGGCCCCCCAGGCAGCGCCCACAGGGCGGGGCGCTGGAGACGTGCACTGCGGAAAGAGGCTCCTGGAGAGACCACTGAGGGCAGACAGTTTGGAACTGAATTTAAATGATGATCAAAAAAGAGCAGAGCGGTACAAGGCATGGGGGGGTCCGCTGCCCCTGCCCCCGTCGCAGCCAGGGGCGTATCCAATTGCCCCAGCGGACAGAGGGCCCTGGTTTCGGGGAAAGCCTGCGCCTCGTCACCCAGAGCTCTCCACAGGGCCCGGGGGCAGGACCACCACGCACGGTTATGCGGGGCATGCCCAAAGCAAGGGCGCTCGAGCAAGGCGCCAAGTGGGGGCTAAAGGCCCAGCCGCTCCAGCCAATCGGCCCCGGCATCAGCCGCATCCACCTCCGGTGGGGGTGCAGGGGTCCCCTTGTCAGCCCAGGAGGTTCCTTTGATTCATACAGAGGGCTCGTCTTGTGCAGACGAGGGAGGCCGGCGTGGCGTGGTGGGCTGAGCCTCAGGCTTGCGTCAGGCCCAGCGGACAGGGTTCCTCCGAAGCAGCTGTTGATCTTTGTGAACTAGAGTGATTTCTGCAAGAAGACTGGACCTCACCCAGCCCGAGGGCGACAACGAGCGCGAGACGCCGGACCCCGAACACCGCCCCGCGGCCCTCACCGCAAACAGGCGCAGCACGTTGGCGACCATGATGGAGACGGAGCTGGCCGAGGCGCCCACCACGGCCACCACGCGCTCGGGGGGCGCGGCGAGCAGCGGGGGGCCGCCCCCCGGGCAGCGCGCGGCAGCCTCGTCGCCGTCGCCGCGGCCGCGGATCAGCGCCTGCACGAAGCTCAGGGCCTGCTCCAGCGCGTACGTGTCCCGCGAGCAGGTGTCGAGCAGCCGCGCGCCCAGGCGCACGCCGGGCAGCAGCTCCGGGTCGGCGTTCACGCGGTCCAGCGCGTACAGCATGGCCTCCAGCCGGTGCACGCCCTGCTCCTTCTTGAGCGGCCCGCACGCCCTGCCCGCCGCGCCGCGCGCGTGCACCGGGAAGAGGCCGCCCAGCGTGAGGCCGCCCGCCAGGCGCACCGAGCCCGCGGCGCCCGCCACGCCCGCCTGCGCCAGCGCCACGAGCGGCGGCAGCAGCGCCACGAGCGGCGGCGCGCGGGCGCTTCGGGGCCGGGCCATCGGCTCGCCAGCTGCGGAGGGAAGACAGGGCGGGGAGGGGAAGAGACAGGGCTCTTAGCGCCCGGCAGAGGGAGAGCCCTGGGTCCTGGGAGAGGGGAAGAGCGCAATAAATGTCGGCTGAGCCAGTTGGAGAATAGATGGGACAGGACTCGGCCAGCCTTCCCAGGCCTCCACCTCGTTCTCACAGCCTCTGAACCTTATCACACGGGTCCCCCCGCCCGACCGCTGTCTCCACCGCTCCAGTCCTCCCCGACAGCCCTGGGCCGCCCGCCCTCCTGGCCCATCCCCAGCGCACAGCCAGGCACCCTCTGTAGCCACACTCACCTGCGCCAGCCGCCCTCGTTCAGGACACGGCTGTGACAGATGCGGAGGGCCCGAGCGAGACAGGATTTAAGGATTCTGGGGGGAGGGATGAGACGCAGTCCTGAGGGCGGAGACCCCTCCTAAGCGTTGGGTGTGCGCAGTACTGGCCCTCTCCACGTCTCCTTTCCCTCCCTCTCCTGCTCCCTGAGTCTGTTTCTTTCCTCTTTGGATGTGTGTCTGACCCCGACTGTCTCTGGCACACACTCTGTCCTTCTCTCTTAGTCTCTTTGTTTCTGTGTGTCTGTCTCTGGCTTTGCCCCTACCCCTCCCTTCTCTGTCTCTCTTCTCTTTCTGTCTTAGTCTTTCTGTCTGTCAGTTGTTCTTTCTCTCTTTGTCTCTCTCTGTCTCTTACCCTATTTCTGTCTCTCTACCTCTCTTTCCCGGCCACCAGTCTCTCGGCTCCAGTTGCCTAAGGGACTCCTCAGCTTTCTCCTTGCAAAACCCAAAAACTGGGCAGTAAACCGGCGAGTGGAGGGAGAAATGAGCACAGGCTGAGACAGCTGAGTGCAGCTCAGCAGGAGGAGGGACAGCCTGGGCAGGAAGGAGCCTGGGGCCGCGGACCTTTAACATTAGCGGGGACTCTGCTTAACATACTCACAACAACTCTGCACAGAAGAGGCTTTTGCCATCAGCCTCATTTTGTAAATGGGGAAATGGAGAGCTCGAGGAGTTAAGTGGCTTGCCAAGGTCACACACTTGGCATGTGTCGGCGTCAGGATGTGCCCCCAGGTTGGTGTGAAACCACCAGCCCCCACTGCCTCTGATGGAGCGGGCACAGGGCCAGCTCACCTTCAGCTCCCACTCCTACCTCTTGCATCTGGTGATGAAACCCTAAGGAGTTGCTCTTCTGGTCATTTCTAAAGCCTGCCTAGGCCCCGGGGTCTGAAGCTGTGACTGCCACCATGTGAGGCTCTCTGCACCCGAGTTGCCCCGTTTCATGTTGGGGGCCAAGCTGAGGGGGCTTGGCTGAAAGATGCTTTTACTGTCATCATCGTACTGAGGCCCCAGATTTGGCTCTGATGGCAAGAGAGCATCGGACATCCTGGAGCCAGGTGGTGAGCTCCCAGCCCCAGGGATTAGCAGGCTTGTCCCCCGGGGCCTGAGCAGCTTGGGCTCCATTAGAGAGGGCGGATTAGGGCGGCCGCAGGGATTTGGGCAAAGCTGGCAGAGGAGCAAGCAAAAGCCGTGTCACCCTCCCCTCGAGCCCCACCACATCAAGGGCCCTGGCAGTCTCTGTGTCCAGAGCTATTCAGGCACCTCTCCCTGGCAGAGGCTGGGAGGCCTGGGTCCAGCATGACCTCTACCCATTTTACAAGTTGGGAAGCGTGGCGCTAGGCCCCAAACTTGACATTGCAAAGGTCTGCACACACTGGGCGTTTGAGGTGGATGAGCCCTGCAGCTGGGCTCCCAGCCCCTCACAGCCTTCCCTGTTCAGGACAGGTCAGACAGAGCCTCAGCCGACATCACAGAGCAGGGGCCCGACTCACAGGATCAGAGCGCCCCACTGGTCTGAGTGGCGGTCGGAGCACCAGCGAGCTGGGGCAGAAGCCCTCACAGTGGTGCAGGGAGGGGGCGAGAACGTCTGACCCAGCTGCTGGAGGTAGAAGGGGATAAAAGTGGGTGGGCTCCTGGCCTGGGGAGAGCTGACTGTGAGGGTGGGGGAGAGGGTGCTTCATGGCCACGGGCCTGGGAGGAGTGGGTGGCGTTCCCGGAGGATGCGGGGACGGGGACCAGGGCAGAGCAGGTCCATGGAGAGCAGAAACCAAGAGTTAGGCTTCGGACACAGGGCAACCAAGAATCTCATTCGAGATCTGAGAGGACAGGTCAAGCCCTTGGTTGGATTCACAGGTCTGGCCCTGAGGGAAGAGGCCAGGGTGGAGACAAAGCTGAGGCGGCTCGCCTGTGTGTGGTGTTTAAAGCTGTGGGGCGGATGAGCTCGCCTGGGCAGAGGATGCGGACAGAGGGCGAGGATGGAGCCCCAGGCAAGCCAACATTCAGAAGTGGAGCAGAAGAGAGGAGGCTGGGATGGCGCAGCCAAGGCGGGGGAGCACGGGGGCGGGGCTGCAGGACTGAGGAAGGAAGGAGAATTCGGCACCATCAGTTCTGCCCCACGCAGCGGCCCAGGGTCATCGTTCACCTCCCACAGATGACACAAGTGAGCAGAGAGGTATGGTGACTGCCCCAAGGCCACACAGTGTAGGAGACATGGGGCTGCTCAGACGACCTGCGTGAAAAACTGAACCACCTTCACCTCTGGGTCCATGAGTTCACCTCCAGCTACTTCAGTGAACAAGATTAAATGAAATTAAAAGCCCAAAGCTGCTGCCTTCAGTATCTTTTCCACATTTCTAATCCCAGAGCTGGATGTTAAATATGTTTGTTTAGCCCCTAATTTAACAACCAGACGATTTTTATTACAAAATTCATTTAAAACTCTATGTTCTCGGTTTCTTCTAATGGTTAGTTTCGAGACCCCTGATCGCTGGGTGGGGTTGTTACACGTATTCCACCTTCTCTTTGTTTCAGGAAAGAGCCGGAGACACGTTTTGTGAGGGCTCTGGTGCACCTGGCATGGTCTCTGGCACAGAGATGTTCAAAAGCATGGTGTCTGGACCATGGACGTCCCCGACCCGTCCCCGAGGGCCCTGTGTGGACCCACACGAGGTGGCGCCCTAAGAAGCCTCCCACCCCACCGCCGCCCTGCCCCGCCGACCCCTCCCCAGCACCTCCACACACACATCCTGGGACAGGAGCCTCCTCTGGTCCCAGGGTGACCACGTGCCCCTCGATGGCAGCAGGCTGTGCCATTGGGACCAGCCGTCTTCAAGCCCTAGCATCACTTCCCTCCAGGCTTCCTGTTGGCCCCTGGACCCCGGAGGCCAGCTTCTTGCCCCACCCACCAGTCTCTGGAAGCCTGAGGTCCCCACGCACTGTGCTCTCCCCAGCTCAACAGCCACCACCTCGGGGCTGGACTGTGCAAAGACTGGCATTTTCAGCCACCACCACCAGGGAGGCACTGCCACCCCCCAGATAGCTGGGGACAGCTCAGCCAAGGATGAAGCAGCCTCAGGCTGGAACTGCGAGGATGAAGCTCAGTCTGGAAGGCAAGATGCTGCCAGACTCCAGTCCTCACGTCCTTAGAACTGTACGCCGAGAACAGTGACCTCTCCAGGCTGTCCTCAGTGGGGGAGCGGGACACCCAGCAGGGCGCACGTGCTCCCTCAGAGCTGCTTGGGCTCAATGAAGTAGCATAGAAGTTTTCAAAACGTTCAGACTGAAATGTGAAAGGTCTCCCCAGAGAAATCCTGATTACTCCCTGACCCAGTGACCCAGGGGTGTTCCAAAAGCCACCCATTAACATAGCAAATGACACTCTTACTGCTCTCATTCACTTAGGAAATGCCAGGGGTTTTAGGAGCTTCGTGCCTGAAATGGGGACAAAGGCCAAATATATATTTCTTATTATAAATCACAATATCACAGGCTTCCGCATATGAATCTGGGGAAACACCGTTCAGTCCCCAGCACTCAGACTGGGCCTGAGGCATCAGGGGTAAAGTGAGGGACATTCAGCTGCTCTCGAGTGTGGTGGCTCAGAGCAGACTCCAGGGCAGGGAGCCGCGGCCGAACCCTGACTTTGGGGTCCAGATCCGTAAAGTGGGAAATGTAACAGTGCAAATTCTGTTTTAAAATTTCAACTCAACGTTTCTAATCCCAGTGTCTAGACTTCTGTGTATGTCTCTTCTGGGGCTTGTAGGAATTGTCGAGAGTGGTAATCAAGTTCATATGAGAGCTCATACTTACTGTGTGACATCTACCTCCTTCATTCTTTTGACACACCCTGTGAAGTAAGTGTCATCATCCCCGTATTACAGATGAAAGAACTGAGGAGAGAGGAGCAGGAGAGGTGAGGAACCACCCTGCCCAGGGTTACACAACAGTAAGTGGCAGCTGGGATGGGGCAGCCATGCCAGGCTGACTCGGCCGCTAAGCCATCACTCACTGAGCTATACATGACACCAGTGGCTGTGTCAGCCAGTGTGGTGGGTGCACACTTCCTAAATCATTTTTCAAGGCTAATGCTTTGTTTTTAAGTTGTGCTTGTGTAGGGGAGGAAGAAAATTCCTCTACTCACTCTAGGTCCTTCTAGCTGGGCTATGAATTAAATTCACATGAGACAGAATAACAGGAGAAAATCAAACAAAGCTTTATAACATGTACACATGGGAGACACTCAGGAAAACCAAGCAACTAGCCAAAATGGCGGAGGCTGTTACCTTAAATATTATCTTCAGCTAAAGACGAAAGAGGATGTTGGGGTGGGGGAGTGCCTAGGTTATGGGAGATCATGAGAAAAGCACAGTAAACAAGAGTAAGGCTATTATGCAGATTTAAGTACTTGCCTTCTGCATTGAAAAGAGTTTCTAGAGATAAGGTCATCCTCCCTTCTTCCTGGTACAGAGAGGGAGACACCTTTACAGATGGAGATTTCCTTTACAAACGTAAATGTCTCTTACAAAGGGTAACTTCTGCTTTTCAGAGCTTCCCCCATGTCTGCAGTTTCTTAAAAGTAACCAGCCCAAAATAATCCTCATGCCAAAGAGACATGTTTTGGGGTGGCCGATTCTGATCCCCTA